AGGACTGATGTTGAAGCTGAAACTCCAATACTTTGGCCACCTGATGTGAAGAGCTGACATTTGAAAAGACCCTGATTCTGGGAAAGATTGAGGGCAGGAGAAGAAGGGGACGACAGAGGATGAGATGGTTGGATGGCATCACTGACTCGATGGGCGCGGGTTTGGGTGGACTCCGGGAGTTGGTGATGGACAGGGAGGCCTGGCGTGCTGTGGTTCATATGGTCGCAAAGAGTCGGACACGACTGAGCAACTGAACTGAACTGAAGAGAAGGAAGTGGAGAGTAGTAGAAAATGAAATGAACCAGGATCTTCAATGAATGAGTGAGTGTGTGTGTGCTCAGTCGCTTCAGTCATGTCTGATTCTTTACGACCCTATGGACTCTAGCCTGCCAGGCTCCTCTGTCCATGGTGATTCTCCAGGGAAAAATACTGGAGTGGGTTGCCATGCCCTCCTCCAGGGGATCTTCCTGACCCAGGGATCGAATCTTCATCTCCTGCAATGCAGGCAGATTCTTTATGGCTGAGGCACAGGAGAAGCCCTCAATGAACCATGAGTAGAGGACAGCACAGAGGAAGTCGAGGTGTAACCAGATGGTCTGAAACTTAGAGGAAGGAGAATCAGGGTTGTGTTGTGTGTTTTACCTGAGGGTGAAGGAGGAATCGTCTGGAAGTTGTAGTTTGGCTGGAAGAGGATGCCAGGTCACCTCCTGACTCCCCAATACATGTAGTGCCTTGATGTGAATCACTTTCACTGGAAAGGGCTGAAAGGGAATTTCCAACCTCAGGGGAGAGCCAGGAATATCAGTGGACACTCAGGGATGAGTTGGAGGATTGGTAGGAGAGTTTGTTAATCTTGGGATGGTGTTCCAGGGAGGCGTCAGAAGCACCTGGAAGTTAAGGTAGAAATGAGAGCTCAGGTGGCAGGAGGAGAAGCACAGAGGAATGTAGGAATGAAGTTAGAGAAGCAGAATAACGACAACAGTAGTTTAATAACAACAATACAAATAATTTAACAACGCTTTGCATGGGTTGTCTCATTTAATCCTCATAACAGCCTCAGAAAGTGGAGCCTTTATTTTGCAGCTGAGAAGAGAGGCACAAGAGTTTCAGCGGCTTGCCCAAGGTCACATAGCAAATAGACTCTACTGGATGCTTACATATTTAAAGTGAAAGTGAAACTTGCTCAGTCGTGTCCGACTCTTCGCAAACCCATGAACTATACAGTCTATGGAATTTTCCAGGCAAGAATACTGGAGTGGGTAGCCTTTCCCTTCTCCAGCGGATCTTCCCCACCCAGGCATCAAACTGGAATCTCTTGCAGTGCAGGCGGATTCTTTACCAACTGAGATATCAGGGAAGCCCCTTGGACAATGACAAAAGAGAACAGGGATGTGAGTGAGGCACAGTGGGTTTGGCTTACCATGAATTTTGCAAGATGATTAGTTCTGACAGTTCTGGTAAACAGGGGTCTCTCAGCTCTCCCCAGATTTAACTGTATTTGGGACTGGAGTTAGGAGAGGCTGTTTTGTTGGTGTTCCTTATATTGTTCTGTATGGAAAGATCCAGGCAGTGGCTGGGCCAGTGTGTTTTCTCACTTGTGGTCTGCAGAGTGATTGATAGGTGGGGTTAGTGGTGTGGTTCTTAGGTATGTCTTGATCTTGTGGGGGATATAAAGCCAGGCTGCACGGGTCTCTAAAGTATAAGGCTGAGGGGCAGTTTGTGGGAAAAGTGACCTTAAGGAAAGTCTTCACAGGCTGCATATTCTGAGATGAGAGATCCATCTTAGGGGATCTGAGGGGTCTCAGGGGTCTGGCAGTGGCCCAATTCTTTCTTGCATTGAAAGCACCTCCCCCAGTGTTTAAAGCTATGGCCCACCTCCTAAAGAAACCATTTTTTACTGGACACTCTGAAGGGTTTCTTGGTAGCTCAGCTGGTAAAGAATCCACCTGAAATGCAGGAGACCCCAGTTTGATTCCTGGGTCAGGAAGATCCCCTGGAGAAGGGAGAGGCTACCCACTCCAGTATTCTGGCTTGGAAAATTCCATGGACTGTATAGCCCATGGGGTCACAAAGAGTCGGACACGACTGAGCGACTTGCACTCACTGAAGGGTATTGGTGCCTTGCTTGTTGCTTGAGGAAGTTGATGAAGAAGAAAAGGAAGCCTTACTGTAAGCTTCCTTGGGCAGCATTTTCGAGCTTCATGTCAAGATGACTCTAAAAATTCTTTCAAAATTCTGAGATGGCAATACAATCATGCAATGTTTAAAGCTTATTACAGGTAGGTTACTTGTTTTAGTAAAATGTGTGCTAGAGTTGAGTTTTCTGTGTCCTGTGCTGCATATACATTGAGGTCTCTTGTGAAATAAACTGAGCAGAACATTTCTGCATCAAATCTAGTAGAGACAGCATATATGTTTAAAACATCAAGGTCCTTTACAACTAGTGTGTGAATAAATGAAATTCATTGTTTTGGTTTTTGAAGAGGTTTATTTTGAGATATTTCTTCTTTTATGACATGCTGTTTGTTGTAGCAGTGATTTATTTGGAGATGAGTTCTGTCAGGAATAAACCCCCCAATTGCAGTCTTGGAAAAACAGAAGCCACTTTACAACGATCCTCTGAACAACGCAAAACCAGAAACACACTGCAGTGAAAAGTGGACCCTGCTCATGTATCTGTGTAGGTGGGTTATAAATAAAGGTGTTCATGCATGCATACAGAACTAAATATCTCCCTCATTAATACTAATGACCTCACTTGGTATTTGTTATATTAATACTTCAGATTTGGTCTCTGTGATTATCAGAGTATATGAAAGTGGATTAAAATATGTAGGCACATATAGCTATATGTCTATTCCATGTATGTGGGATTTGTTATAATTTAGAGTATGTATAATTTCTTTTTCTTTTGTACTTTCTGGCTGTGACTGGCGGCAAGCAGGATCTTAGTTCCCTAACCAGAAATCGGACCCGCAACCCCCTGCAGTGGAAACGCTAAATCTTAACAGCTGGACCACCAGGGGAAGTCCCCTAGAGTATGTATAATTTTTATAGAATTAAATATTGGCTATTATTTCTAGCACTGCAAATACTCAGCATAATACTTTTTAATAAGTCTAAAATTAGTTCCTGGCTGTCCAGTGGTTAAGACTCTGAACTTCCAAGGCATGGGGCGCGGGTTCCACCAATAGTTCAGGAACAGCTGTGCCTCAGCCAAAAAGTAAAATTAAAAAAAGAAATTAAGAAGTTCAAGAAATTAGGAATTTCATCAAGGTTACTAGTTTGTGCTGTGTACTGAGTTGCTTCAGTCCTGTCCGACTCTGTGTGACCCCATGGACTGTAGCCCGCCAGGCTTCTCTGTCCATGGGATTCTCCAGGCAAGTACACTGGAGTGGTTTGCCATGCCCTCCTCCAGGGGATCTTCCCGACCCACGGTTGGAATTGGTGTCTCTTATGTCTAATCTGCATTAGCAGGCGGGTTCTTTACCACTAACACCACCTGGGAAGTTTTTAGTTTGGGAGTTCATCAAGTTAAAATTTATTTACTAGTGGAATACATTGTTATTACTATGGTGTTACCATGTTTAGATTGGATGCAAAATATCTGTTTTCTCCCACCTCAAACTGCTTAATAGTAATTTTATGGCTATTATAATGTATTAGCTGTTCCATGGCAGGCTTCTAGGATGATGTGAGAGTTGCCAGTAATATTCTCCTGCTTTGTAAGAAGTCTTAGCAGTATAACACTAACTGCAGCTGGGGGTCTGGGCTTCAGTTTTGCATGTTCCTAAACAATATTTTCAATGTTAGGGAGTCAACTAATGCTGGGAAAGCAGATTAATGCTAAAGACATTTACAAGAAACTGATGTATAAACTGAATGACAATTTATTAATTTACAGTTGTTCATGCAGATATGATTTGAAAACAGAGTTCCTTCTGGGCAGAGCTTCATGGGAAGCTAAATTATAATCAGAAGATTGCTGCTACCATAGAATCAAGGCAAGGTGAGTTGTTAGTTGTACAATTCAAACACATAATGCTGTTTGCTGTGATTGTTCCAAGCGTCCATCTCCCCATTAGAGTATTTGCTCCTGGAAGAGACTGCTATATTTGTTTTACAGATCAGTGCACCCTACCCCATCACCTGGGTAGTGCTTATTCAGGTTTTTTATTTTTCTACGCTTTCTCTTGGAGAATAAAACGGCAACCCACTCTGGTATTCTTGCTTGAAGAATTCCATGGAAGAGAAGCCTGGAGGGCTACAGTTCATGGGGTCGCTGAGTCGACACGGCTGAGCGACTAACGCACGCATGCTTTCTCTGCAGATCAAAACCCTTGATTTGCTCTCCTTTTTAAAATTACAGGTGAAACGTGTTTATCTGTTATCTCTTCAATCAGATTAGTCTAGTATTGATCGCCTAGAGGCCATTCTACCATTCAAGGGAGGTACCTCTTTAGGTTTATAGCTCAACTCACAGGAGGGTGAGGCAGGGGACAGTAACCTCGTGAATAATTCTTTGGGGGCACCTCACTGGTCAGTGAACACGGTTGCCAGATTAAAATAAAGGACGCTCAATTAAATTCAGATAGCAAGTTTTTTTTTTTTTTTTTTTAGTCTTAAGTATGGATGAGGTATAGTTATACCTCAAAAAAAAAAAAAGAAAAAAACCCAAAGTATTCATCATTTATCTGAAATCCAAATGTCCTGTACAGGGCGTCCTGTATTTTTATTTGCTAAATTTGGCAAGGCCACGAGTACGTTAACATAATGTCAAGAGGTTTGCCCGGGTTCAAGCTGGTCGGTAAGCACCAATCCATTCGGTTGTCTCAGGGAACAAAACCCATTCCCACGAAAAAGTAAACAGCAGGTAGCAATGAAACTCGGAAGAATCTTGACCCTTTGAGGAACCCGTAGTGACACACCGGCCTTAACCACGGCTTTGATTGATTGCCCGGTGGGCTCCGTTCTTCTCTTTCTGCTGCTAGAATGATGGCTCTATCTGTCTTCCTTCTCTAGTCCTGCCCTTTCAGCTACGGGCTCTGGATAGGGATCGGTAACCCAGAAAGGGCCAGCGAAAGCGCCGACGTGTTTAGAGGAGCGGAAGTAGTCAAATATCTCTGAACACCGTCAAGGGCAGCTGGCTGTCTCCCTTTCCGGATAAAGACAGCAGCTCCGACTGTCAGTGCCGGCCTCCCTCCTGTAAGGGGATCTGCCGGACCCTTGCTAATTCAGTTTTTCTTCCCCATTCCGGGCCCTTCCCTATCGTCGCCCCCTTCACCTTGGATCATGTTCAAGAAGTAAGGACATGCCGTGGCCTCCCTCGGCTGCTCACGAAGGTGGTGGGGGTGGGTGGTGGGGAAGAGGACAAGAGCAAAGATTCTCTTTCTCTCTCCCACGCCCCTGCCATCCTTACTCTTTAAGGTTTTTCTGTAGTATCATGCTCTCAACACTATATGTCTCTGTATGTCTCAGTACTATGCTTGCAACATTTCGTTAAGCTTTTCGTCCCTAATCCTCGATCGGGTTGGGTCCTCCCACTCTCATTTTCTATTTCGTTACCCCTCTTTCTCATTTGCCCCCTTCCCCAATCCTAGCTCCATTCCTAGGATTCTACCAATCACATCCTTGCACCGTGATTTAGGGACATGCCCTCTTTAGCAAGAGGACAGCCCTGCGCTCTCTGCCATGTGGTTACTAGTTAGGAACTGAACAAGGGAAGGCTTGACTTCCTGGGTCATGGGAGTGAAGGAGTCTGGGTGACAGGAAGCGAGCGGACTGTCATACCTATTGCCTAGCTGCCAGATTAACCTTGTCTTGAAAATAACGTGATTGCTCCATAGGAACATTGTCTTGAAAATAACGTGATTGCTCCATAGGCTATTCAGTTGAGGAAGACAAAAATTCTTTGGAACGCACCTAGTGGCTTTGCCTTGCAGATTTGGTAGACGCAAAAAGCAAAGGGGGAACATGGGCAAAGGAAGGTGGGTTTTGTGCATGACATTTTGAGCAAAAATAATTAGGGGTGTTAAATACCGTCATTATCACTTCAAAAAATCTCAACAGATTACATAGCATAGGAGGGGCTGCTTTTCTGTGTTAATGTTTGGGTTGGTCATTTGTATACTAATGCTTGACGGTATTTTTGTTTTGTTTTGGTTTACACAGATTTTGTTATAGGTGGGAATCTGTTTCTTTCTGGGTAGAACTGAGTAAGATTTTCCAGGAAAGGCATTTGTGTAGCTGATTACAGTTTATTGTGTTATATATGCCTCATATCCTTCCCCCTTCCCTGCCCCCCTCCAGCTAATTGTGTGTATATGACAGTTTAATATTGTATTGACATTGGTTTTGTGCTGGACAGAATAAAAGGGAAATTGTATTTTAAAAAGCAATTTCTTCCATAATTATTTTAGACATCTAAATATTTGCTTGGGAATAGGTGAATAATTAAAAAAATACCTTTAGCTATTCTGTTGTGTCTTCTTAGAAATGCTTTTTGTTTTTCCTTGCAAAAATCATTTGGCAGATTTGATGAAAAAGAAAATGTGTCCAATTGCATCCAGTTGAAAACCTCAGTTATAAAGGGTATTAAGAATCAATTGATAGAACAATTTCCAGGTATTGAACCATGGCTTAATCAAATCATGCCTAAGAAAGATCCTGTCAAAATAGTGCGATGGTAAGTCTTTGCTTTTTTTTCTATGTATAACTCACAGAAGCTGAGTATAATATGATTGGATTGCACTCATGATAACTGTGATTATCTTTATATTAACTATCTACTCTAAATGAGTAACCCTAAAACTTATCAATATTTGTATTTTCACATGTTTTTCTATGTGAAAAATGTGGCTTTGTGTACTGATTGTTTTATTAAAGAGTTAATTAAATGTTTTTATTCAGAGTCAGATTTGTTTCAGCTTGTGCTTTAGAGATTTGTTTTATTAATTATCTACCAAGGAAATTAAAATATGTAATAAAATGTGAAATAAAATTGTAGCAGATCATATTTTTCCCTAATGGACTGGTGTTACTTTAAGCAGTGTTTTGTGGGGTTTTTTGGGGGGGCCTGGATCTTTACTGAAATTAAAAAAAAACTTACTGTATTTCTATATATGCATACTTCATATTATACATTATTTAAAGGATGTTTGGCATATTCATTTTTGAAAGAAAATATCTCACTTGGTACTTTGTGGTGTTTGTTTTACAGCCATGAACATATAGAAATCCTTACAGTAAATGGAGAGTTACTATTTTTTAGACAAAGAGAAGGGCCTTTTTATCCAACCCTAAGATTACTTCACAAATGTAAGTCTTGTTAGAAAATATGTATTTGGGGATATGAAAAGACACAAAAGGAGTTGAAAGTGACTTCTGGTAGTTAACTTTTTGAAAGAAAAGTGAAAGTGAAGTCACTCAGTCGTGTCTGACTCTGTGACCCCATGGACTGTAGCCCGCCAGGCTCCTCTGTCCATGGGATTTTCCAGGCAAGCATACTGGAGTGGGTTGCCATTTTCTTCTCCAGGGAATCTTCCTGACCCAGGGATCGAACTCAGGTCTCCTGCATTGCAGGCAAGCTCTTTACCCTCTGAACCACCAGGGAGTCCCACAGTTAACTTACTAGTACTAGGTTATATGGAATATAAAACTAAAACGATTTCCCCCTTCTCCATCTTGTGGTAAATCTGAAAAATGCATATTCTCTCATTATGCTTTCCAAAAGCCCAAGAAAGAGCATTCATTCATTCATTCATTTAAAAAATATTTATAGTTTTTGAACTTATTCTGTGCCAGGCACTGAGCTAGGTATTGAGAATGTGATAGGAAGCAAAGATAGACATGGTCCCTGTCCCTAGGAAGCTAGCAGTCTAGTGAGGTGAATAGACAACAATTAGATAATTACACATATATATTCACAAACTGTGTAATTACTGTAAACTTTTTTTTACATCTGTATCCAGATTTGCTTCATAGAGATAATTCTATATAACGGAAAGCATGGAGTCCCAGTTCTTAGTAGTGCCAAGGCCAGGTGTTAAGAAACAAAATAATGTTTGTTATGTACCCGCATTTGCATGTTGTTAGATTGATTACATTGCAAAATAAAACCCAAAGGAAGCTGCTATCCCAGTGTACAAGAGTTTTCCAACTGTAAGTAAAATTTCTCCTTTTCAAGCCAGTATGTGTCTGGCATGTATGCTTATTTGGTGAAGCATTGTGTCTGAAATGTTAAATGGTAGAGGAAGAGTGTCCATTGAACTGTTCTTCCAGTTTTTCTATATGTTAAGCATTTTCATGATAAGTTGGAAGAAAAAGATGTTTCTATTTAATAATATTTTGCTAGGAACCAACCTTTTAGAACATCTTAAAGTTACTCTTGGGCAGAAGCAGGATTATATGGTAGTTAAAACTGTGAACTTGGAGTCAGGCAGATCTAGGCTTAATTCCCACTGCATGTCACTTTTGTCAAGCTGCTTAACCTGTTTAAGCTTTGTTTCCTCATCTTTGAAAATGGACACAATTGTATGTTATATCTCCCAGGGTTGTGAGAATTAAATGAGATAGTAACACAGATATAATGCACCTAACTCAGTATCTGGAACATAGTAAGTGGTCGATATATTATAGCCACTATTATGATGCAGTAATTGTTCAGTAAATGTCCATCCACTACTGCTACTTGTCATCATCCCCATGATCTGGATCATCATCATAATTATTATTAAAGGGAAAATATTAATAAGGATGGAGATCTAGAAAAGAAATTATGACTTCTGAGTAGTAAACACATTCATTTATTCAGGTTCCTTTTTATCAGTAATATGTTTTAATTAATTTGGAATGTGTTTAATTTCTAGTCTTGGTAGGAAAAAGACTTATTTGTTCTCTGACTAATGGGAAGGCTATTGGTAAGACATTAAAGTGATTACATTTTACCAATTATTGTTATTCCTAGAGACTCCTGAGAGGTCTAAAAAGTTTTTCTCATAGTTATTGTTTTAAATCCTTCAGGGATTTAGTTGTTAGGTTGTGAATTATTAGCCGACACATGTATGTGCTTGCGAAGTCGACTCTTGGCGACTCTCTAGACTGTAGCTCACCAGGCTCCTCTGTCCATGGGATTCTCCAGGCAAGAATACTGGAGTGCGTTGCTGGGCCCTCCTCCTAGCGATCTTCCCAACCCAGGGATTGAATCCGCATCTCTTACATCTCCTGCATTGGCAGGCGGGTTCTTTACCACTAGTGCCACCTTGGAAGCCCAGTAGAAACATATACACACACACAAATAAATTTTTTTTAGGATTATAAAAGGAATATGTGTTCAGTCTAGAGATCTGGAAAATACATAAGTAAAATCACTTGTATTCCCATGACGTAGAGGTAACTTACCATGGTTAGTATATCAGTGTACTTCCATAGCATTATTTCCAATATTGTGTGTGTCTGTGTGTTATGTGTAAATGCATATATTTTCCTTTTTTAAAATTAATAAGCTTTTTTTAGAGCAGTTTTTTACACTTTATTTTATTATGGAGTATAGCTGATTAACAATGTTGTGATAGCTTCAGGTGGACAGCAAAGGGACTCAGACATACATATACATGTATCCGTTCTCCCCTAAATTCCCCTTCCATCCAGGATCCAGGCTGCCGCATAACATTAAACAGAGTTCCCTGTGTTTTACAGTAGAACCTACATGGTTATCCATTTTAAATATAGCAGTGTGTACATTTTGATCCAAAATTCCCTATCACCTCTCCCATCCTTTTCCTCCTCTGGCAACCACATTCTGTAAGTCTGTGAGTCTGTTTTTGTTTTGTAAATAAGTTCATTTGTATGATTTCCTTTTAGATTCCACATATAAGGGATGCCATAGGATATTTCTCCTTTGTCTGACTTACTTCATTCAGCATGACGATCTCTAGGTCCAGCCATGTTGCTGCAAATAGCATTATTTCATTCTTTTTTTATGTCTGAGTAATATTCCATTGTATATATGCACCACATCTTCTTTATTCATTCATCTGTTGTTGGACATTTAGGTTGCTTCCATGTCTTGGCTATTGTGAACAGTGCTGCAGTGAACATTGGGGTACATGTATTCTTTCAGACCATGTTTTTCTCTGGTTATATGCCCAGGAGTGGGATTGTAGGGTCATATGGTAGCATTAGAGTAGTTTTAGGTTTACAGAAAAAATTAACAGAAAGTACAGAGAGTTCTCATATACTTCCTTCCCTCTTCTTAATATCCTGCATTGGTGTGCTTCATTTGTTACAATTGATGAGCCAATATTGATATATTATTATGTATATTATTATAATTAATGAAGTCTATAGTTTATATTAGAGTTCATTCTTTGTGTTGTACATTCTGTGGTTTTGTCAATTGCATAACGTCATATATCCATGGGCTTCCCTGGTGGCTCAGTGGTAAAGAGTCTGCAAGGAATGCAGGAGATGTGGGTTTGATCCCTGGGTCAGGAAGATCCTCTGGAGGAGGGCATGGCAACGCTCTCCAGTATTCTTGCCTGGAGAATCCCATGGACAGAGGAGCCTAGTGGGCTACAGTCCATGGGGTCGCAGAGTCAGACATGACTGATGTGACTGAGCAGGCACTGTATCCACTGTTATAATATCTTACAGAATAGTTTCACTGCCCTAAATATCCCTTGTGTTCTACCTACTCACCCCTCCCACCTCTTCCCCCTCCTCCAACCCTTAGCAACCACCGATCTTTTTGGCAATTTTTATCGTTTTTTTTTTTCACTCATCATATATTATGAATATTTCCCAGGGTATTACATATTCTCCAAAAACATGGTTCTATTGTACAGATATTATATGTTAAGTCATTTATCTCTTAATTGTTGGACATTTAGGTTGATTCCAGTTTATTTCTAATATAAATATTAGTGCTATAATGAGTATCTTTCTAGCCAAATATATTGTGCATTCCTCATTTATTTCTTAGGATAAGGTCCTAGAAGTAGAATTACTAAATCAAAGAGCTTGAACCTTTTCAAGGCTGTTGGTACATATTGCCTAGTAGTCTTAAAGAAAGCCTGTACCTATTTATAAGCCTTCTAGCAGTAAATGGGAATGCCAGTTTTCTGACATTCTTGCTAGCACTGGGAATTACTTTTCTCAAAAATATATACCAATTTGATAAGGGAAGGAATGTTTCAGTTTTATTTCGCATCTGTCAAAGTACTATAATTTCAGAAATATTTGTTCATGTCATTTGCCTTTTTCTGTTGAGTCTTTAGTTTTCTTAATTGGTGTAATGTATTTCTTTTCTTCTAGATCCTTTCATCCTGCCGCATCAGCAGGTTGACAAAGGAGCCATCAAATTTGTCCTCAGTGGAGCAAATATCATGTGTCCAGGCTTAACTTCTCCTGGAGCTAAACTTTACCCTGCTGCAGTAGATACGATTGTTGTATCCTTCCCAGGCTCTGCTGAAAAATGTGTTCATTGTATTCTTGTTATCACTGAAAGAGCTAACATCCAAGAGAACATTAGATGTATTTTTTTGGAAGTTACTGTTGTATCTTTCTGCTTACATTTGAAGATGTGGGAAGCAACATTATTTTGTGTTAGAAGTTAAATGATAACAAGTAATAAAAAGAGTCCCAGCTGCATTTCAGCTCTGCTAGGGCCCAGTGTTATGAGACTTGGGACACAGTATGAAACTCCTGATTATTAATAGAGGTTTTATATGATATGATTGAATCACTTATTTGAACATCATCTTGCTACTTTTACATTTGAATTACCTTGGGAAAAAAACATTCAAAAGGGAAAAGAATTTAGGCACCAGGTGGAATGTTGGTGAATAGTATGAACCATTGGCAATCCCTATGGCTTTATTTTAAAGTCCCAATGAACTTTTATTTTAAAATTCATTTTTAACTTGGTTGTTTGGGCCTTGGAACATGTTTTCTCAAAGAGAAACGTTGACGTCAGAAATAGCCCTTAAGAAGTTATTCAACTCTTGATATAGCTGAATAATTCTGCATTCCTTCCATTTCTCTGGTGTTGTTTCAGCTATATTCTAGATTAGTTTTTTGTCAACTAATCTGGACAGGATGACATCTTCTCTTTTGTCACAGATAAAGTGACCATTTGCCTCAGGTTGAGGAAAGGAACCATATTTGGTGGGAAATCGCTGGAATGGGGAGGCCATTGGAATGGGTTTAAGAGTGCTCAGAGGAGGGTGTCCTCTCTTGTGGAAGTTATATCTAAGGGGTAATATAAGTTGTATATCTTAGGAACAGCTTGTATTGACATAGATACTGGTCACATAATAGGTGTTCAAATATGTGTGGAACATTGAAGGAATGAATGAATGAACTGAAAACCAATGGAGAAAAAGTATTCTCTGAGGACAGGTTACCCTTTAATATTTATGATTGCTCTAAGTTTTTAAAGTTTATAAAGTTCTGGAGTTTCCCCTAAATGGAAAATTTTCCTAGTATCTGGCCTTTACTTTTTAAATTACTTTTATTTTGAAATAATTATAGACTGTTAGAAAGCTGCAAATCTAGTACAGAGAGGTGCTGTGTACACTTGAAACATTGAAAATATGGACTGTACTGTTTACCATTTTAGATACTTCAAATAAACCAAGATCATTCTGTTTGTTCTGGAGAGATTGCAACTTACATTGGCCTCTTAAAGATAGGGGATATAATTATTGTTTTAATGTATCCTTTATATAAAACCACCATTTAGTGATTAAAGCACTAGAACAATTGATATTTATTTCTTTTTAATATTTATATGCAAAAAATTTTATCTCCTTTTTTGCATGATTTCTTTTTCTTCTCCTCCTCCTTTTGTTGGCATTGGGTTATAGTATTAGCATTTGATCCAAAAATCAAGAATGATTATTAGATTACATTCATTTAGCATTTATTGAATATTTGCAGTGTGCCCATAAATGGTGCTAGGTCCTTGCCTTCAAGGAGTTAATGGACTAGGTGAAAATGCAAGTTGGGTTCCCAGTGGCTTAAGCAGTAATGTGACACCCCCTCTTGAAGGTATTTTGATAGATAAATGGTTTTCTTAGCTGTGTGTTTTCAGGCAATCATGGCAGAAGGAAAACAGCATGCTCTGTGTGTTGGAGTCATGAAGATGTCTGCAGAAGATATGTAAGTCTCCTGTTAGTCCCCCTTAATTTTTCAGATATAGGTAACCTATGCAGTAAGGGGCTTCCCAGGTGGCACTAGTGGTAAAGAACCTGCCCACCAATGCAGGTTAGACATAAGAGATGCTGGTTCGATCCCTGGGTTGGGGAGATCCCCTAGAGAAGGAAATGGCAGCCCACTCCAGTATTCTTGCCTGGAGAATCCCATGGATAGAGGAGCCTGGCAAGCTATAGTCCATAGGGTCACAGAGAGTCGGCCACAACTGTAGTGACTTAGTGCACATGCAGGAGGAATCAGAATTACAGGTGAACTTTGCTCTCGTTCATACCACATCTTACAAATGTTTACGCACAGAAGCCTCATTTCTGATTTTTCCTAAGATTTAAGAAGCCATTGAAAGTTATTTCCTCTCAAAGAGATTGCATTCTTTATTTAGCGCTCTGAAAAGAACCTGTGTGCCAACACAGCTATATTATATGTATGTGTGTGGTATTTTAGGAATGTTTTTAATTAGTGTGATTTCACTTAGGTGTGGGGAAAGGTATTTTGCTGCTGGTTTTTAAAAACAGTGACATAATTTAGTGCCACACAGTATTTATCTTGTATTTTCACCTGGTGGCATAAAATACTAAGGAAATATTAGTGATATATTACCAAAACATTGGCTTCCCTGGTGGCTCAGCTGGTAAAGACTCTGCTTGCAGTGCAGGAGACCTGAGTTTGATCCCTGGGTTGGGAAGATCCCCTCGAGAAGGAAAAGGCTACCCTTTCCCAATCCAGTATTTTTCCAGTATATTTTCCAGTATTCTAGCCTGGAGAATTCCATGGACTGCATAGTCCATGGTGTAGCAAAGAGTTGGACATGACTGAGTCACTTTCACTTTCAGTTTACCAAAATATAGTCAATATGCTTAAAAATGTTGGACTCATTTGATGACCAAATTATTCCTACTACTGTTGTTTCAGGGTTAATTATAACACTTTCATGTTCTCCTGATCTGGTAACATCATTACTCTGTTTCTGTGATCCTACTAGTTAGATCACTAGAATTCCTTTAAGGCATGAACTTCAGCAGAGTAATGTAGTTTAATGTAGATGATCATGTTAGTGTAATATAAGTAAATTCCCTATATATGGCTCAATAATTGCAAAATAGCAATGCACCCTGAGTTACATTTACTATGAGTAAGCCTGTAAAAGTACTTAACAACATGTTTATGTGCTTTATTCCTTCTGCAGTGAGAAAGTCAACAAAGGAATTGGCATTGAAAATATCCATTATTTAAATGATGGGCTGTGGCATATGAAGACATATAAATGAGCCTCAGAAGAAATGCACTTGGGCTAAAAATGGATATTGTGCTGTTTCTGTGTTTGTGTCTATGTGTGACAGCATGAATACAATACCTCTGTGGTTATGCTGAATAAATTCAACAGATGCTAAAATTCTGTTAGCTCCAAAAATTATTTTTTCTTAAACTCAAGTTAAATTTGGGTTACAAAGTTGGACATTAAAAGGTAGCTGGTAAGTAACCAAACTTAATTAAAATAACTTAATGTCCTTTCTTAGGCTAATGATGCAAGATGAAGGGCAAGACTTGGTAAATGAACTTGCTAGTATATGGCTGATGCCTCAGAAAATCTGACCAATTAATGGGGCTGGAAGCTAGACTGTTTTTTTTAAACATTTTTTATTTTTAATTGGAGGATGGCTGCTTTATAGTGTTGTGTTTATTTCTGCTGTACAACAATGTGGATCAGCTATAAGTATACATATATGCCCTCCCTTTTGAGCCTCCCTCCCACCTCCCCCCATCCCACCCCTCTAGGTTGTCATGAGCACCAGGCTGGGCTCTCTGTGCTATACATTGTCTTCTCACTAGCTATTTTACACATTATAGTGTATATATTAGACTTGGATTTTTATCCTGTTACCCAAGGGCACCTAGAAGTGCCCCTTCTCTTTTATGTATGTTTTTAGTTTGGTTGCTATTTCCGTTTTTAAACTTTTCATTATGAAAAATTCTGAGCATAGAAAAGTATGGGTAGATAGTATATTGGATTTTCTAATCCATCACCCAGCTTCAATTCATGGCCGATATTGTTTCGTCTCTGTCTCACTCCTTCCCACTGCACTCCCCAATTATTTTGAAGCAAATCTCAGATATACCATTTCATCCATAGTTTCTTTAATATGTATTTTTAAAAGATATGTTTTCTTTTAAAAAAATAACCACAATATCATTATCACACCTAAACATTTAGCTATTTCTTAATATTATCAAATATCTGAACACTATGTAACAAATAGACTTGTTTCTCTTTTTATTTATTTATTTTTCTTTTTATTTTTTTAATCATTGGTTTGCTTGAAGTTGGTATCTGCCAAGGTTCTTTTTTTTTTTTTTTTTTTAAATTTTTATTAGTTGGAGGCTAATTACTTTACATCATTACAGTAGTTTTTGTTATACATTGATATGAATTAGCCATGGATTTACATGTATTCCCCATCCCAGTCCCCCCTCCCACCTCCCTATATTGCATTTGGTTGCTATTTATTTGTCTCTTTTAATCTATAAGTTCCCCCTCCTTTGTTTTCCCTTTAAATTAATTATTTAAGAAATCTAGTTGTTTTGTCTTATAGTTTCCTGTCACATTCTGGATTTTGTTGATTGTATCACTGTAAAGTAATTTAACTTGTTTTTATACTCCTTGTATAGCCCGTAAACAGATAGACTTGATTAGATTCTGGTTCAATTTATTTAATGCCCTCTCTTGAAGCTGGGGGAACTCATACTCCACAGATGCCCAGAACTTCCAGATTTGAGTCCCTACTGAATTCCTCAAAGGATGTGTATCTCTTATCATAAGTAGCATGTGAAGACTATCAGCCTACTTCAGTAAGAACAGTAGGCTGTTTTGAGAATTAAATAGCAGTTTTGAATTTATATAGTGATAACAGGTCTTTCTTCCTAATAGCATTGCTGTTATGCTATGTCTCAGCCATTTTCATTTGGTTGTTGACAAATATACTACATGCGATTTTATTTTTCAGATGGATACAGACATTTACAAGATTTACAAGACCTGTGTTACAGTTAGAAGTTGGTGAGAAAGGTGAGGGTGGATAGTAAAAAGAGAGATACCATTGGGCTGGCTGTTGCAGCTGGGCCTTCACAACATAGGTGAAGGGTATAGACCCAGGGTCTGACTCAGATTGAGAAACTATTTCCCACAAAACCTGTAAGACTTGGAGATTCCCATGTTAGAATGTAAGTGTATTAATTTATAGTAGTAAGTCTACTTAGGGTAAACAATTAGTAAACAGGAGGTTTCTTGGTGAAGATGGATTAGAGTAAAGGAAGGTTGATAATTTGGGGGAGTCTTTCATCTGGGGTAGGGCTTGGAGAAATTTTCCTCCTTCATCATTAATTAGAATGCTTATGACTGCCCAAATCTTTCTTTCTTAGCCCATAGATATGCCCTGATATTTTTCTTCCTATATCCTTTTTAAGTCCTATGCATTTTACTTTGTTATGACAGTTACATTCTACAACTTGCTATATTTTTAATATTTTATTATTTATTCCTGGTGGATGAAAGTGTAAATAATCTGATCGGTGGCATAAGTCATTTATGTCAAAACCAAACTTTGAATCTTTATTCTTGGTACTAAGATAATGTTAATTGACCAAAATTGCCGGTGGAGTGTTAGCGATGAAAAACAAAGCACACACACGTATTAGAGAAATTTTGATTGTGAGGTTTCAGAAATAATTGATCCATGTTTCTGACCACGGTTACTGTGGGTATAGGGAACACTTTTAAAATATTCAACATCATCTGTGCTTGTTTTTCTAATATGTTCAGGTACATTGACTTTGTTGCCTTGGTGATGTGGGCTAAATATGTACATTTCCTACTTCCCCCGGGGTCTGAGGCCTCAGGTCATGGAGTTAATTGGGGGTGTGATTCCACAGGTGGGAGCCCAGTCATGCAGCCCAGTCAACCAATTCAAAGAGGTTGAACTAGCAGGTATATCACCTCTTGATGTACTGTGCATAAAGGAAACTTAGTTTACCCATATTCCTGAGAGTAGGAATGTGGGGAGAGCCTGTTTTCTCATAGGTAATGTGTCTTCAGTTCACTTTTAGTTTGAAAATTACTTTTGTGTCAGGCAACCTACAGTCTAGTCATTTTTGTGCACTTTTCCTCATCCAAGGTCAGTTCAGCTCACTGGACATTTATTGAATATCCATTAGGTTCTAGGTGTGTGGCACAAAGATGAATAATAGACAAGTTGTCCTTGCCCTTAAGGAGCTTCCAGGCTAGTGAGTAAAGTTACATTTTTAAAAATCTGGGTAATGGTGACAGCCCAGTACCAATTTATAAAGCTAGCAGGTGTAAAGTAATTAGCCTCCAACTAATAAAAATAAATGAAAAAAATAAAATAAAATAAAATGTATCCTGAACACTCAAAAAAAAAAAAGCTAGTAGGAAGTTACTAATACATTTCCAATTTCAGTCATCAAAACTTACAAATTATACATGAACCAACTGTGTATCCACTGTGAGGTTAAAAAATCCAGGTGTCTTGAAGTTGCAACAGTTCAACATTCCAACTCAGATGGTTGTCGCGTTTTGCCATAGTTTAAAGACCCGGTCAGCCCTCTTCTAGCAGACTGACTATTATAGTAGTTTGGCGGTGCTTGGTTGGCAGCTGCATTTTTCCTTTTCTTAATGTTCTGGACCCAAAACAAGCATCTGGATTTAGCTAAAGGACAGCCATGAACATTTCCAATTGGAGAGATTTGATAGTCCCCAAACATAAAGTCAGATGGCATTTGTCAAATGATTATATCCAGCCCAGTTCCCCCTGCAGGTACAAATCAGCTACCAAGGATACAGTATCTCTAAGCAAAGTACTTCAGAAGATATAAGAATGGTAAATGACTAAATTTACAGCGGTATTTCATTATAATAAGTATTTCACCCTTTTGTTGTTCATGAGACTATTAATTATGTAGCAATTATATATTAATGGGAATATGAAATGAATGTATGCCCAAACAAAATGTGGTAAATATTTTAACTTTGTTGATATAGGTTCATTAATTTTGAGAATACATTTCTCAAGGCTCTTCAGGAAACTCAAAATGTTCCAATTTCTAAAGGAGCATCTACTGAAACTGATTTATGATGAGAGAAAAAACAGAAAATGTATGTATACATCCTGTGTCAATATAACCATCACTTCTGAGGTCTCAAGCAATCAGAAATTTACTGAGTTATTCAATAACCTGTAAGAATTAGGCCATTAAAAAATATTTTGAAAGCCCTTCAGAATGCTTATGTTTAGTATGTCATTAATTGTATCAGGGCAGTAAAAATTACACTAAATATACTTAATATCCTAGTCTCTCAGCAATACTCCTAAAGAAATCTTGCCTGTCAATGTGGAGATTGATGCATGTAAATGTTTATTTGTATTCTATGTTTTTATGCATCATGTGTATACTTTATTATGCTTTGTTTTATAGCAGGTAAAAGCATAAGTAGATATAATGAACTATAATGCTAATTTATTTGATATTGTATTAAAACAATTTTAATTAAGTGCTTGTAAAGGACTACAACTCCACCAGAACAGGAGTGAATGAACAGGATTGAGAATCAGTTTTAAAATCTATGTTGAGACTATCAGGCTGGTTGGTCAGTTGGTATAGGAGCTGGCTTCCTGGAGAATATAATTTATATATGGAAAAGGACATGGAGATGATTCACAGGAATTTCTACTAATACTATCATGTTCATTAGAACAGGTCATGGGGAGGAAAAATAGATAAAAACATCCAAACTAATTGTACTATTAAAGATTTGCCTCTTGGAGTGAAAAGTTAAAGTGCACCAAATTTTGTCCCTGAACATTTTGAGAAATAAAAGGATTAGTGAAATAATTTTTTATATTTCTTCATTTATTTGGCTGTGTCAGGTCTTAGTTGTGGCATGTGAGATCTTCCTTGTGTCACCACATCAGTAATTGTGGCACATGGGCTCGAGAGCACACCGACTCAGTAGCTGCAATGTGCAGGTGTAGTTGCCCTGCAGCACGTGGGATCTTAGTTCCCTGACCAGGGATTGAACCCACATCCCGCATTGGAAGGTAAGACCATTGGACCACCAGGGAAGTCCCAAGACAACTTTTAAAAGCTGCATGTGCTTAACTTCTACTTTTGTTTCCCTATCTGTGAGGCATGGAATGTCTGTTTCATCATATTGATGTTTTAACAGATTTTTAGTTTTTCATGATCTGAAAGATTTTGTATGTACTTGTTAATCTGGATACTGTTCTCATCAGTTCTAATGCTGCCCCATCCAGAATTCTTTTTTTGTTTGTTTGTTTTATGTCTCTTCTTTTATTTATTTTTTTTCACTTATTTTTATTA